TACAAATAAATCTTTAAAAAAAAAGTATTGGGAAACTTCAATAGCTGTTGGGAGAGAGATGGTTAGATTTTTTTTTTTTTTTTTTTACCTCAGATCATTCACCAAAATAGATCTAGAAGAATTTAAAGAGAATGAAAGAACAAAGGAAAAGCCAAACAACTTAAAAACTAGAAAAAAGAGTAGTTATTACTGCCTCTGTGAGTATAGATTACATAACTTCCTATTTCAAAAGTTATTTGCAATAAATATAAAAGAGCGTTATTATTCTTAACATAGAAAGGATTAGTAAAAATCAATAATTATTTAAATATTCAAAGAAAAATGAAAAAAAGAAAATAGACAATTCATTAAAGGAGGAAATACAAATGGCTGAAAAAGATGTTCAGTCTCACTGGCAATCAATGAAATGCAAGTGAAACAAGAAGGTACATCCTTTGCCTTCAGCAAAGATTTCTAAGATACTAATTTCTGCTTGGGGGGTGTTGAGATAGCTTTCATACTAACCTTATGAAGTGATTTCCTATTATTAGGTGCATTTTGTAGGTGTGGGAACTGAGACTCAGTGGGTTCAGTAATTTGTCCAAACTCATACTGCTAGTAAGTGCTGACACCAGGATTTGAAGGTGGATTGTGTGACTCCACTATGGAGGGGGGCCTAGAAAGCAGATGCAGGAAGGTGAGTGAAGGGCAGGGGGATGTGTCTCTTGAAGAGCAGACAGATATATTTGAAGTGCCTATGTAGGAGACTGAATGGACTTACTTATTGCAGAGGGAAGCAATGAGTGGAAATTACACAAAGAACCACTCTTAAAAGTGTCTCCAACAGACTAGAGAGGCAGGAAGGCATGAAAACACCTAGCCCTGGGGAGGCAAGGGAAGAGGGAGGGCCCTTTAGTCTAACCTTCAGGTCTGGCTGCAGTGGGTGAGGGTGGATGGCTTCATTTTTTAGAAAAGAAACACACCTCTTGGCTGACAAACATTTCAGTGTTTTAGCAGTTTCAGTGTTTTAGCAGTTTCTGCTCTTTTCTCAACCACAGAGAGCTAGCCCAACCTGCCCTTTCCTGGGAGGGTCCACTGCCTATCTTCACAGCACTCCCACAGCAGCACTCCCCTGCTAGCAGGAAGCCAGAACTTGCCAAACTGCGTAGGCCAGGGCTGGAGGAAGGAGGGCGGAGTAGCCCATCTGAATTCTCTTTTGCCCTTTCCTGGAGTCTCTATTCCGTGGGGGAGGGGGTGGGGAGGGAGAGAGTTGGGAAGAGGCAGTCCAGTCCTGTTGGAGAGCAGGAAGCAATACTATTAAAGGAAAATGAGAAATACATATTAGTTGTAGTTTAGTAAGGAGGTCTTTGTTTGCAAAGTCCTTGGGGAATGTTATTCTTAAAGTGGGGACTTCTATCCTTAGATAACCTTGGAAAGGTCTGTTAACCTTTTTTTTATACCTCAATTTCTTCATCTGTAAAATGGGTAAGACACTGGCTGTTTCATTGGCTTCAAATGGATGAAGTGCTTAGAAAACCAACCAGGTGGTATGAGGGCAGAGTGCCACAGTCAGCAGAGTTGCTCAGATCAGAGTTCAAGTCTGGCCTCTCATTTTCTAGTTAGAAACAGGAGGATATTACCCAAGCTTTCTCTGCTCTGTTTCCTCATTAGTGAAACTGAGGTTAACAACAGCCCTTGCCTTAAATGGTTTGTCTTCAGGGGTAAATACATATAGAGATTTATGTGTATTAAAGAGATAATGCATATGAAGTAAGTGGCAGAACCAGGACTATAAAGCTCACAGGTTTAATCACTAAATTTGCTGTGGCCTCACAACCATAATGCATATACAGCAATATTACATATTACACACTGGAAAGAAGTAAAAAGGTTAAGTGTTTCTGGACTGTGAGCTTATAATCTATTTTTATTTCCTTCTTTAAATTTTTTTTTGTATTTTCAAAATTACTTTTATAATCAGAAAAAAAGCTGTACATGATGTTCAGATGACTTCAGATCATTTGTGATGGTTTCTACTGCATTAAAATCTTTGGCAATATTTTTGCATGTAATTTTCTCAGCAACTCTTTGATCCCTATTTTCTAGATGAGGTTCTGAGGCTGAGAGGGTTAGAGATCTGATTGAAACTTCAGGTCTCCTTGCTGTTCAGTGGCAGAAAGCCAAGATCCATGGGCAGATCTGGCAGTTTCCAAAGCTAGGTGCCATCCACAGGGATGCTGGGCCAAGGACTCTTCTACCCCAATCTTCTGATGGCTGAGTTAAGGTGGGAGGATGTCAAAATAGAGTTGATGGTAAGTGTGCTCCCATAGGCCTCCTGTGCCTGGTGTGTGGAGTTCCTACATTCTTCATGGAGGACATGGCCTGGGGAATGGATCTAGGCATCCTTTCAAGGCATAGAAAATCAGGGCTATTGTGAAGAGTCTGCTCAAGAAGAAATAAAGGTACCCCAAAGAGGAAATAAATAAAAACAACTGCACGAGATTGAAGGAGGGAAATGGATGTGAGAGTCATAAATCATTCTCTCTCATAGCAGGAAGACAATAAATAATGGAGGATCCTGATAAATCCAGATATAGCTATGTAAGCATTATATTTATTTATTTATTTAAAATTTTTTTTTCTTAATAGAGTCATGTTTTATTTATTTGTTTGTTTGTTTTGTTTATACATGCACTGGGTACAGTCAGAAGTGCAGGAGAGTGAGAGAATTCACCAGAGCCAGACCAGGGAGCAGAGCAGGCAAAGGTACACTGCTGAGGGGCGCAGCAGCAGGCGGCAGGAGAGATCTGCCCGCCAGGTGGCCGGGGAGCAACCAAGGAGCAACCAAGGAGCAACCAAGGAGCAACCAAGGAGCAACCAAGGAGCAACCAAGGAGCAACCAAGGAGCAACCAAGGATCGAACCGGCGCCGACAGAGGCTGCGCGCAGCTTCGCAACCCGGCGCTCAACCGCTGCGCCACCGGGGAGGCCCTGTAAGCATTATATTTAAACACCTGGAAACAAATAGCTCCAAGTGCTTACCCCTGAATGGAGGGATAGAAAGGAATTTTTTGCTTTTCATCATAAATGCTTCTGTTCTGTTTGATTTTTGTAGAGTTATGTATGTGCACTGCATTTTATTTAAACATTATTTAAAAAGTAAAGACTCTGAAGAAAAAAAATAGAGGCTTTGGGGTCATCTGTATGAATTCAAATCCCACCTCTGCCAGTTATAGATCTTGGGTAGGTTAACCTCTCTAAGCTGCAGTTTTATCATCTGGAAAATAGGAATAAAAACCATACTCATCCCACAGGGTGCTCTGAGGATAAAATGAGGTAATGCTTATAAAGCACAAGAACCAGCACTGGCTAAAACTCAGTATCTATAATTATTAACAGTGGTTGTCATTATTAATAAACCGAGCATGCAAGCAACACCCAGGATTTGCTTCTAGGCACAGAGCAGGCACCTAGCGATGGGTAGGATGGCTTAAAACCTCCACCAGAGTCCACCATTTCCCCCAACTAGTGCGGCAGGAGCCCCAGACCTGAGAGCGAACACTTAAATATTAATGTGGCTACTCATTTATTCATCACTCTGCTCTCCGCCGCAGCGTCCGCAGAGGGCGAGCCACGTCTCCGCCTCTCCCGCGCCCGCGGCCCCGGGCCTGGGCGCGCGTCCCCTCAGCTCGCGGAGACCCGGCCGCGCGCCCCGGCCGTTTCCAGGCGGCTGCCGCGGGGCAGTCACGTGGCAGGGCGGGACTCTCCGGCTTTCCCGCGGGCACCTTCCCGGGCACGGGCGGGCTGGAGTGGGGAGAGCGCGGTCGGGCGCGTGGGCACCGAGGCCCGCATCACCCCCTATTCCTCGCCAAGGGGAGGTCCCTCATGGGTGCGGGGACGCGGGCCAGGGCCGTTTGGGGGAGCAGGGGCACCTTGAAAATCTGAGAGTGGCCAGCAGACAAGGGCACGTCGCCCTCCGCGGAGGGTGTCGCGCTCCCCGCGCGCGAGGCGGGGCGTCGCGGGCGCCCCCAGCCCGGGGCGGGGCCAGCCGGGGCCCCGCCCACCCCTCTGCAGAGGCGGCGCGCCCCGCCCCCCGCGCGCCCCGCCCCCGGCCCGCGCCGCCCACGCCCTCTCCGCCCCCGCGGGTCTGCGGCGGCCGGGCGGGGAGCGGCGGGCAGCGCCCCCGCAGCGCTGCGGCACGGCCGCGTGGGTCCGGGGCGCGGGGCCCGGCCGCGGGGCGGGGCGCTGACGTCGCGGGAGGCCGGCTGCCGGGGGGCGGGGAGGCCGGGAGGCGGCGGCCCGCGCGGCCCAGCCCAGCCCAGCCCGCAGCCGCGGCGGCCGGGAGTGCGGGCGGCGGCGCCGTTCCCTGCCGCCCCGGCGCGTCTCCGCCGCCGCCTGGGGTTTCGCTGGGTCCCGGCGTCCGCGCCCGTTCCGGCGCCGCCTCGCCGGCCGCCGCTTCCCCCGCCATGGCCCTGGTGCGGGGCGCCGAGCCGGCGGCGGGGCCCTCCCGCTGGCTGCCCACGCACGTCCAGGTGACCGTGCTGCGGGCCCGCGGGCTGCGGGGCAAGAGCTCGGGCGCGGGCAGCACCAGCGACGCGTACACGGTGATCCAGGTGGGCCGCGAGAAGTACAGCACGTCGGTGGTGGAGAAGACGCGGGGCTGCCCGGAGTGGCGCGAGGAGTGCTCCTTCGAGCTGCCGCCCGGCGCCCTGGACGGTCTGCTGCGGGCGCAGGAGGCCGACGCCAGCCCGGCGCCCTGGGCCGCGGGCCCCGCCGCCGCCTGCGAGCTGGTGCTCACCACCATGCACCGCTCGCTCATCGGCGTGGACAAGTTCCTGGGCCAGGCCACCGTGGCGCTGGACGAGGTCTTCGGCGAAGGCCGCGCGCAGCACACGCAGTGAGTGAGGGGCGGGCGCCGCGGGAACGGTTGAGGGCCTAGCGGGGCGGGGCTGGTGGGTGGGGGAGCGGGACCCCAACCTGCGCCCCGCGGTGCGCCCTTGGCCTCGCGCGCACGAGGGCGTAAACCGACGAGTTGATTCTCCGCATTTTGCGAACCCCTTCTGACTGTGCACTGTGTGCGCTTGGCCGCTGGGGGGTCCTTGGGAGGTCTGGGGGAGACGTGAGTGGCGACCCAGTGTCAGGAGTATTGTGTCAAGTTAAGTTAGGAGGCTCTTCCACTGTGCGTGCGGACCTTAAGAAGGAACATCTTGGGACAGCTCTTGGGGCCTCTGCCATCTCCCTTTCCTGAAGTGCAGGGAAACAGAAAGTGGCTGTCCCAGGCTCACAGGGGGATGGAGAGGCAAAACCTCCCCCGGTGGGGAGGAAGTGGGGAAAGGAAGGTGCACTCTTAACCTCCAGGGCAAGATTGAAAGGAGATGCCCCACCAAGCCTAGAGACCACAGAGGGCGTCTGTGTTTTGCTGTTACTTCACTGTCCTCTGACGCCCTGAGATGCCCTCCTGGACCCTACCCCTTATGTCCTTGGCCTGAGAACAGGAGAACCTTCTGGGTGAAGGAGGTGAACACTGCAGCTCTTCTTCCAGTTTCCTGCCTGTCCCGCCTGAGGTGGAGTTAGTGGCATGGGAATGCACCGCAGGAGATAATCTTCCAGTCACTTCCACCTGGAAGGGCCAGTGGATTTTTTTGTAATCATTTATTTTGGCAGCATTTAACCTCCCCTGGGTTAAGATCAAGGCTTCACATTTGGAGGCCCGTTTCCTGTTTTGGGTTTAGGCAGGCTCTGGAAGCCAGTTTCCAGGGCTGACAACCCACTGTGGATCACTCAAGTGGTTAACTGGGGTGGGGGACACTTTTCTTGGCCCCCTGGACCATGCATGGGGAGGGTAAGGTAATGGGGGCTGGGCTGTACCCCAGGTACAGACAGGTACCGGAAAGCTTAGCTTCCAGTGAAATGTCACACACATGAGTAAATCTAGGAAGGATTGCTGGAGGAGAAGGATGAACCTGGTGCAGTCCTTCATGAAAACAAGGTTTGGAAAGAAAAGGATCTGACTTTGAGTATTTTCAAAATATGGGTAGGGAAGGGCCGTCCATGGTCCATGGCTCATTGTGGCCTGGGTGGGAAGCAGGTCAGCACTGAGCAGTTCTAGGCTAGACTCTGACCGGCTCATCGCCTGTGTCCCCTGGCCTGCCCTCCTTCCCTCATGACTTGCTGTTTGGTTGCTGGGTGTGCAATCATGTGGTGTAGCTTGGCACTTTTTCTCTTTTTCCCCTCCTCTTTTCTGTACTCTTCCTCTTTCCTTGCTCAGGGAGCTGGAGGGGTGGATATGGGGCAGAAAACTTTCTCCTGGATCTCTTACTTAGCCCTTTCTTTTTCTGAATAGGCTCCAGTGGTCAAATTCACTCCACCCTTTCCTTGTCCTTCCTTCACTCAGCTAATCTGGCCAGACTGGTAGATGACACAGTTGGGGGCTGGGGAGGGGGACAGACCAAAAAAATTCTCTAGGCTTTTAGGGAGGGGCTTCTTAGAGTCCAGTGAATTGAGGAGGGTGTGTGCTAAACTTTGATTTTTCAGTTCCTACTCTTGCCTTCTTCCTAGCTTCTGGTGCTTCCTTTGCTGAGCTGTCTGTGACTGTAGGCTCAGGCAGACCTGTTTTCAGCCAAGGGCAGTCCCTTTGGTAGAATGTGCTGCCCCTTGATCTCAATGGGAGCTTTAATTTACTTTATAGAAGTCATCTTTTCCACCAGGATCTTTCCACACCCGCCTGGCTGCCTTTCCTCTGATGCATTGACCTGGGTTATTTATAGAATTTGGGGAGGGCAGGAGAGGAGAGGGGTACTTGTGGTGGGCAGAGGAGACCTCTACTGCACGGGACATAACAGCATGCCCACTGACAGATGGTGAGAGCTGCCACCCTACTTTGGTCCCCTCCTCTGGCTCTAACAGCAACTCCTGTTGGCATTTCCTGGAGCACCCTGGCATGGGTTGCTGAGACAGTGAGTCTGCACATTGCCTAGTGGGGAGCAGGCAAGATGGAGAGGACAAGGGTGTGCCCACTTCAGTTCTGGATAATGGTGAAAAAAAACAACAATGTCCATTCTTTAACTCCAGAAGCCGGTTATTCAAGTTTCATGGAGAGTAAATGGTATCCTTGTGTCACCAAGACAGAACCTGACTAGGAAAGGCTCATGGTTAAGGAGAGCAGGCTGCAATCTTGCACAGAACAGATTCCAGTCCCAGATCAGCCACCAAGTAAATTCTTGATACCCCAGCTTTCTCATCTGTAAAGTGGGGCTATTTTATGCCTTCACAGATTGTATGCATGGGGTGACATGAGAATGCAACTGACACTGTTGACAGTGAGTAGCAGTGATGGCAGAGGGAGGTTTTGGAAACAATATTTGGTAGCTATGCTATGGGAGATGTTCCCTGCCCTGGAAGGGCCTCTCATGTGATTGGAGGAAACGATACAGACCTTAGAGCCTGGGGAGGACTGTGGGTGGCAGGGTACACCCAGGAGTGAGAGGGGCTGGCCCTCCAACTCTCTCTTTGATGCTAGAGGTTTGAGAAATAGGACTGGGCGTGGGGGCCGCTGCAGCCTACAGCTCTGCAGCTCTTCCAAACAGCTTGCTTGAGCTGCTCCTGCCTACTTGGGAAGGCAGTACAGCGTGGTGTTTAAGAACCTGGAGACTGTTTCACTCCCAGTTCTGTGATCTATGAGCAGGCAAGTTCTTAACTTGTTTCCTCATTGCTGCAAAGTTCATGATAATAATAGAGTTATACAGGTTAAATAAGACAGAGTCTGTAAAAGCCTCAGCATAATTTCATGTACCAAATTTTCAAATATTAGCATTGGGGCTCCTTTGAGGGCCCTGCTTGGTACCTTGATGGTGTACCTGGAATGTGAGGTGCCTCAGTAGCCCCTTCCCAAAGCTCCTTGTCAGTAGAGTGCTCATTGAGGCAAGGGATTCAGTGGAGGTTTCCAAAGAATTGAAGAGGAAGTTCTTAAAATTTAGTGTAATACTCAAGGAAACTGATGATAGCCCTCTCCCCACAGTAGAGTCATGCGTGGATCACCGTGGTTCTGAAGACTCTAAGAAATGCTTTTCTACTATTTCCTTTCTTGTTTTTACCTCCAGTATCCATTCTGGTACTCCCCAGTGGGTGCTGTAAACAACACACCTGTCCTGGGTCTATTGGACCAATGGTTAAAGCCTGGCCACTTGAGAAGGTCAAGGCTGTGGGCTCGATTTGAGTGTGGACCAGTGTCTTTTTTTCCATCACAGAGAGCAAACAGTTGCTGACTGTGGCCCCTTGAAAGGCTCTGTGGGCCCTGATCAGACCTGTGCCATTGGTTTTATGGGGGCCTCTAGGAGGCCTCTGGCTGAGGAGGACATAGGTTTGAGACCAGAGATTTCTTTCTGCCTGGCTAGTCACGGTGGCCTGAGATTTCCTTGAGGAGTTTGGGTTTGGGGGCACTGGAATAGGTACCTAAGGGGGAATGCAGCCTATCAGCCTTGGCTTGAAGTGGTCTTTGAGGCCTTCCATCCATTCCTTAGCTCCTGGATGCCTGCAAGGTTCTATTGTAGGCTGAGGGCACATGACTCCACTTCTTTCTCTCCACTGGTTTCCAGATGTGACTGCTCCTCAGGAGGCAACTGAGGCCATGAGGGTCTCCTTGGCTTCATCTGCTCCAACCCCAGACCTGGACTTGGAGGCCTGTGGGGATCTGGGGAAGTCTGTTTTGGCTGCCAGGGAGGATGTAGCCATGCTTGAAAGTCAGTCACTAGGACACAGGAGGCTGCATCTCCCTTAGTTATGGCCAGTTTTTATCTGGATTTTTTTGGGCAGCAGCTTGTGGAGGAGATGGAGGGGTAGGAAATAATTTCCTCGTCAGACTGGGCGGCTCCTTCTCGCTGGCACAGCAGCTTCCCCCTCCCTCTGTGTCTGGCCCTAGGCCGGAACCTGGGGCTGTGGTGTTGCCCATTTCTGCCCCTTTGGCCCCCTCCTGTAGGCTGCCAGGGACAAATGAGCTTAGCTTCCATCCTGGGTGACCTTGAAGGCTGTCCCTTTCCTCTGATTGGGACTGCCCGCCCCACTTGTTATTGCTGCCACCGTGATGCTGTGACACTCCCGCTGACGCTGAATGACTGGCCTTGTCCAGATGTTTCCCCTGCCTTTCCCACCCTGCACCAGACAGATAATTAACACAATGACGGGAGCTCTCAGGGAATCAGTACTCTATTTTTTTTTTCCCTGTGCCGCGCCAATTTCTGCCAAATGGTGGAGTCATGTAGAAGCATTGCCCTTGCTCGCAGCCAAGTAATAAATATAAGTCCACAATGTGGGTCCTTTGTGCCCCAGGCAGCCCTGTCAGGGAAGAGGGAGTGCTTTGCTCTCACTCAACTGGGCTGGAGTCCCTTATGTTATCTCTTCCCTTCAGGAAGATGGCGGCCAGTGGAGAGAGCTGAGCTTGGCAGGTCAGCTGTGGCTCAGGCCTCTCCTCAGTGAGCAGTAAGCCAAGCGGGAACCCCCAGAAGGAAGCCTTCAGGGAAGCTGTACCAGAGAGACTTTTGTCACAGGCCACCTCGACCTTCAATTGACCCTGCGGGTGGGGAGGGGAAGCACAGCCCTTAATCAAGGAATTCTAATGGCAGAGCTAGAAGCTGCTTAGACTGGTGGAAATTGAGGCTGGGAAGGAGAGTGACATGCTGTCAGCTACTCAGCAATTAGCTGTGGGTGGGGTTCCTGTTAGGCCCTGGCAGCCTGCAGAGCTGTAAGATTTGGGGTAAAGAAGAGATGACATTTGGGGCCCTGTATACATCCCCAGGTTTCTGTAGAAATGCCCGTGGGGTTTTAGTGAAGGAGATGTAGAGGCTTGTCTGTGGGGCAGTTTCATCTAAAGAGTACTTTTTTGGAGTACTTGGGCAGAGGTGGAGAAGAGCCACTCACGTTGGGATGAGCGGGGAGGGGGTCTTAAGGAGGGGAGGATATGGACAGCCCATGCCTGGATGGTGAGGAAGATGGACTTGGAGAAAGGACCATAGCCAAGTGCTGTATTTTGGGGCCTAGTCAGGGGACACTGGAGATGTTCAGAGCAAAAAGCTGCTGGGCTCACTTGTGTTCAGGGAAGACCTCCTTGAGGAGGGGACATATATCAAAGACCTGTCAGGACAGAGCACATCTGTCACCCCACCTTCTCTCAGTTCACACACTAACAGCGTGTCACACTGTGTTCTGGAGGATTATGATTGTCTTGTTGGTCTAGAGTATCATTAAGCCTTATCTAGGTGCTGGCTCTGTCCTAAAGACTTTACTTACATTAGCTCACAGAAAACCCTCAAGGTACAGGTACTGTTACTGTGTTTAACAGATGGGGAAACCAAGGCACAGAGAGGCAGAGTGACTTTTCTAAAGGTTCATAGTACCTGGCAGAGTCTGGATTTGACCCAGGCAGACTAACTTAAGATTCTGTATTCTTCACCACCACACCCATCTTTCCCCCCATGTCTCCCACCATTCAGGTCAGCATAGGACCAGGGCCTCAGCAGTTGCCCTCCTGGTTGTGTTTCCTGGTACTTTGGAAAGGAGGGTATCACTGCCACCAGGGTGTGTCTCAGGAGTAGGGGTGGCCTGGGAAGCTCTGTCTTGATCCAAGGGGAGCTCCCTGGGGAATATTTGCTCCCCTTGGCTTTGCAGTAGAGCAGGGGTTAGAAGAATCAGCAGATATAAGACTTCCTGACCTTTCCTAGGACATCACATGCTTCTTTTACTGTGACAGACACTCGCCATCTGGTTCCTCATCCTACAGGGGTGCAGTCATTATGTTTTCTTTTGTTTAACATCCAGGAAGTAATTGTTGGGCAACCATTGTGCCTAGGTCAGGACTTTAAAAGAAAATAAGAGAAAGAAAATGTATAGCCTTTTCCCTAGAAGGAAGAATACATGTTTGAGGCAAGACTTACCCAGGAAATGGTTAATTGATAAAGCAGCACATACAAGTATGAGAGACGGAAAGGGTCAGAAGAA